ATCACAATTGTAGTAGGAAACTACTATCATGATTATGTACTATATCAATCCTCTCCACTTGAATAAAACTCATCCTCAGGTTTTCTTGAAGAAAAATAATCAATCCGGAGAAAAATACTCAAAAATTTATGTCAATACTAATATTGAAGAAATTTCAATTTCTTGATTTTCTGCCACCATATATTCCTTGTTCTTATCCAGGAATAGATCTTCCAGATAAGTTACCTCCCCAGCATAGTGAGATATTGTAAAATTGGTGAGTGATAGCTTGAGCTTGATAAATAGATTTTTTTTTTTTGTTTGCAAAGGTCTAATATAATTTTTGAGCAAATGTCTCATGAGTAGATTTTGAAAGCATACAAGCTTCATCGAGAAATGCAATTATTCCACCAGGTTCCTTCTCAATCAGATCGAGCACATCTTGATTATCAACAAATTCTATGTAGCTCCAGTTTATCTTTTCTTTTTCGTGCTCTTCTTGTTTCATCTTAAAAACATGCTAGTGAAAATGTTGTTTTTTATTGGTGAAATTGATACAGAACGGCTCAAAACTGCTGTGCTTAAAACTTTCAAACCCATAGATATCAAGAACTCCTATTATTTTCTTTTGAGATTAGATCCTCTCCAATGGAGGCACTTATTGTTTTCATAACCCAGTCAAACAAGTGAGAATATATAGTTTTAGCCAATATATTACTGCTACTAAAAGCAGCCTTTGGATCAAAAGTCTAAGTGATAACTTTATCAGGAGACACCATCACGTCCTTAATAAGTGTATCTTCCAAGCTCTTGGGATCACACTGGAGCAATTCAACAGTATTATTAAGATGAAATCCAGAGTTTTCATCCTTAATCACAGAAGAATCGATCTTGCTATTAAGAGCAATATTATAACATACCCTGATGACTCCAAGCAATGGTTCACCATGAACCCTGAACTTAGTCGATGCTACAACAGTAAGAAGCAACTTTAATACTTGAAGAGTAGTGTTGTCAGGTGATAAATTATCTGCACAACTGCAGACCTTGCTGAAAATATTAGTGAATAGTTGTGCATTTTTAGAACCATCTAGACCAGGATCATCCTCAAGGTGATTGTACCCAATTAGCTTATGGATGCAATACACTGCAAGCTCCACGACTTTAATGTTCTTGGTATCTAATGCAATTCAAAGTGGATTCAGAACAAGCTCAGATTGAGCTCCTCCCAAAGTATACCTTGCACTTTCTAAGGCTGTCACGAATCACGATAGATCAACTACTGCCTGCAGGTCATCAAGCAGATTCCACCTCCTCAATAGCAACTGGAGCAACATTTGATTGATTTGATTCCGTCTTAGATTTTTCAACTCTAGCACCAGTTGTAGGTAAATTACTTGTCACTCCAACTGAGGATGCTGCTTGGTTGGATTCACCATAATTAGATTGTTGATTGACGTCGTCGTCTGCACTGTCTTTAATTCCTTCATGATTAACAAGTTTAATTCCCTTTTCTTTTGTTGGACACTTCCAAGCGTCAACTTGCTCATCATCGGACTGTAGCTCGATCTTGGAGTTTTCAATTACAATTTCCATATACAAGGAATCAGTAGGTCTCGAATTTTCAACTTGCACATGCTTTTTTTTTTTTTCCATTTTAGTATCGTTGACTGTAAAATTCTGATATCTTGAATTACAACTTTTTTAACATCATCATCTGCCTTATGGATCTTTTTCTCTTTATTTACACTAGTACTTACAAATTGCTCGTCACATGATACTAAAACAGTCTTTTTATCGTATCACATAAACATGTACCTATTGTCTTGACCTATGTAAGTGTCATCTACGTCATAGTACCATGGTTGTCCCCAAAGTACATGACAATCGTCCATCTCTACCACGTTATATATAATCTCATCTTTATAGTATTTTCCAAGAGCGTGAAATTTTGCATATCTCCATATTTTGAAATTCTTATCTTTGTGAAGTTTGATAGCAAGATGAACATTTTTCAGTCTTCAAATTTAAAGCTTTCACTAATACTTTGGATACCAAGTTCTCATTACTCCTATGATTTATTATCACTTTGCATACTTTGTTGTTGATGGTGCATCGTGTTCTAAAAATTTTGTTGTTACTTCAAATATGATTTTTTTATACTCTATAGAACTTTTATAGAATCCTTGATAATGCGTGTATTCAAATTTATCTTGGACTCGAGGAAATTCTCTAGCCACCTGTTGTCGTGTTTTAAGCTTGTTGAAGCAACCGACACTCATAGCAGTTAAAGTCTACAAATTCTTGTCAATTTGTTTCTCCATGGGCTCATGATTCCTTTCAAGACTCAACACAGTCACCGTCAGTATGATGTTATAAGGGGTTTCATCGATCCCCTTAATTCGTTGTTCAAGTTCGTCGAGCCTCTATTCGTCATCGGAGGTTCAACTGCCACCAGTACCTTCGTCGACCATCAAATTAAAGCAATTTCCTTGATCTGATACCAATTTTGGTGCGAAAGCATTTAGAAATTTTTGTAATATAAATTATGTAGTAATTAAGAACAATATTGGAATAACTTGCTTGAATGATATTAAATAATAATTTATCTTATAAAAAAAGTGTAAAATGCCTCTATATTCATAGGAAAAATTATTTCCTACTTCTACTAATAATAAGAAACTAAAATAAAGAAACTAATAAAATCATAATTTAATTAGAAATCATATTCTAAAAAAGAAATGAGAATAAAAAAATAAAACATATTAGAACTAGAAAACATAAATCACAGTTGTAGTAGGAAACTACTAATCATGATTATGTACTACATCATTTTTTATTCAGTTATTTTAATTATTTTATTGGAAAATTTAAAGTTACTATTTTACCTTTTTTAAAATTGATTAAAATGAGGTCAATGTTATTTTTTTGGTCAACTAACGAAAAAATTAATAGCTTCCATTTATTTGTCCTCCAGCCGCACACTTTTGAAAGGTTTGGGATCACAGGTAAAACAAATGAAATGTTGGGATAAAACATACAAAGTTTTGAAAAGTTTGGCTACAATTATCCCTTAAATTTAATATGCAATGCATTATATATGGGGATCCTTCTCATACCCCAATACCCTTTGGGTAGCTTGCCCGTGTAGGCTTTGAAGAAGGTGGCTCAATTTATTTACCACAAAAGAAATGCCAAGTTTTGTGTATGTAAGATACTGTAGAATTCCTAAAGCACTTTTCTAGATACCATGATTAGTCATCATTGCTCTGAAATTTGTGGACATGTTTTTACCGATAACCATGGAAGAAGAGCAGAATTTGAGACCTTCCCATTTCAATGGGCGATGAAACCAATAAAAGATTTTAGAATGGTCTAAAATTTTTAAAAAGGTGAATAGTGTCATTTAAGCAAAGATTTAATCCAAACATGATATTTACCTATTGAAGTTGTGCCCATCCAGATTTTATAAAATAAAATTCTTCTATCACTAACTCTGAATCTATCATCGTAGCAAGATCTCATTTATTGTAGAGTGTTGTACAGTCAGCAAGAAATCCCTCCTGCATTTTATTATGAATTGTCGTTTTGACAAGTTTTAGTGCTTAAATCAGTTAGTTAAGTAGTTGTAGGAGAAATGCATAGAAATAATACAAGACAAATCAATCTAGTTGTCCAAGTGTAAATCTCTAACCTTCTCCTTACAACCAATACTCTTTGGGTAGCTTACCCACATCGGATGTGAACTCGTAGTACTCCAATATTTGTGGACATGTTCTTTTCGGTAACCATGGATGAAGAGCAGAATTCGAGATTTTCCCGTTTCAACAAGGGATCGGAAAAGCACGAGTTTTAAAATGGGCTAAATTTTGAAAAAGGTGCATAATGTCATGTAATCAAAGATCTAATACAAAACATAATATAACCTATTGAAATTGTGCTAGAAGAGATTCTATAAAATAAATTCTTCTATCACCAAATTTGAATCTACTTTCGCAGTAATATCTCGTTTAATGTAGAGTGTTATACAATCAACAAGAAACTTATCCTACATTTCATTATGAATTATCATCTTGACAAGTTTCCATTCTTAAACTTGTTCATTGAGTAATTGCACGGAAAACTAGCATTGACACAAGACAAATTAATTAGTCATCAAAGTGTAAATATCTAACCTTATCCTTACAACCAATGTTCATAACATCATTTAGAAAGAGCAATATTTGCTAAAACTGAGGATCATGAATTACGTCAAACTGATGACATTGCAATTCACAACTCAAATAATGAAAATATCTTGCGCGATAAAATATTTAATATAGAGCTTTGTTGCAAGATTGCAAGTAACATCCATGTTAAATAATTGAAAAGAATTCCCAAGATCTAAAGTTACACCAAAAATAAGGAGTTCCACTTGTGTCTCGATAAATATAACACCTGCTTGATTTAGCTAAAAAAGTAAACTTTCATAAAAGTTGATGAAATGTGTGGTTTAAAAGTTGATAAAAGCTGCAGGTTTCATGAAATGTGTGTTTGAAAAATGAATTTGAGGAAAAACGAGTTTTATAAAATAGGGTCAAATTGGGGCATAGTATTTTAACTCTATTTAATGGCAACTTGTGAGAAAGCGAAAATCCAACAATTTCAGTAAATTTTCCCTCGTATCTTACACTCGTTTTATCTGAAAGCATAAAGAGACTCCTTTGAATCGCAAGAAAATGGAAACATAATTTTTATAGAGAGGATTTTATATATAATAATGGAAAAACAAGAGATACCTACATGAACCCTAGAAGCAAGAGGAGCAGGGTGACAATCTTTAGAAAGTTATTGCATTAATTCCCTACTTAAAAAGTTAGAAGTGTAACCCTAGAAAAAAATAAAATTAATCTTGAAATAATTTCTTGCAACTAGAGAATGAAAATGAATTTTGAATGAAGAATTATAATTTTTGCTTTCAATAGGCTAGACATGAATCGTGAATTTATTTATTTTTTTATTTCCAAATTTACACTAGGTTACATAGGCCATGGAAACCCATCTTATAGTCCCTCTTTAGAACTTCAAAATTATAACTAAATTGATAAAGATAAATGCTAGTTTCATCTTTGTGAAACTCTAGTTCAAGAAGTAATTAAGGTGTCCCCAGATACTTCAAGGAATAAGTTGTGTTGGATTCATGAACAAATTTGTCAATAAGAGATTGGTCATTACCACTGATGAGTATCAACATATGAAGATAAGAAAAGAATCAGATTTTGAGCGTTTATTCCTATAAAGGGCTTTGTTCAGAACAAAAAATGTTTAGGTTAGGTTTATAATGCATATAAACAACTTCTAAGTTACAAAGCATTGTTGATGTCAATTTGTTTGATTCTATAATTTCTTTTAAGTTTTGATAGTTAGAAATGGCATCGGCTTTGGTGATGGAGTAGATTTTGAAGAAATCAAGCCCCACCGCTTGGGGAGGAAATCTTTGACGACGGAGCAAGCATTGTACTTATTCGTAGAACCATCAGAAGAATTGTTTTTGACAATGTAAAACCCACTTATTTCCAACAAGATTATAGTTTTCAGAGTAGGGCATCTGGTGCCAGGTTGCATTATCTCCTTCATGCATGCTTTGTTTTATTTTTTTAAGACCTAAGGGCTTCTTTAAGGGTATCAGGTTCAACTTCATTTTCTTGGTTTGACATTTTTCCATTCGTGACAGGTGTGCATGATAAAAGCTTGCTCAAAAGTTCCCCAAACCAAAATAAACAAATGCAACGAGCTCAGAAGGCAAAGCCTCCATATCTGATAATAATCCAAGATTTGCAGATACCCACTATTCTGCTTTTACCATTTTGTGATTTCAAGCAAGCCCATTTCAAGGTGTTTATAGCCTAATGCAGTGGATGAGCTATCCAGTGGAAGAGGAAGAAGACAGTAGCAGCTGCATTAACCAGAATGCTCTGCTACCATCTGAAAATTTGAGCAACAAGAGAAAGCAGAAACAGAAGGTCTTTTGCACAGAGTTCATTCATCTTCCAGTTATATTGATCTAAGAGATGGAGGTACACTACATCTACAAAAGAAGGTGATGCTACTAACCATAAAACAATAATCAGAACCCACTACTGGAGAGAAAAGAAAGAGGCGCCTAATTACACTATAAATAAGAACTATCTGATATGCAAGGACTAATGCAAGTTAAAGTGAAATGTAAAGACAGATGAAATGTGAATGAAGTACAAATTCCAAAATAAGTAAAGGTTGCATGGTGGGCCTTATTTTAGCTGCTGCTTCTTGTACTAGGATGAGTCGATATCGTTGTGTGACTTGTGTCTACAATTCTGACACTATAAAATCCGTTCTGCATCAAGCATCACCTCGCCATTGAAAAACTACAAGGCTGTGTTCTAAATAAATGAAAAGTTATTTTCATGTTCACACTAGATAGCACATCTTTCAGAATCAAAGTACCAATTAAATAGTTATCTTTTCAGAATATGGATATGAAAAATTGGCTACAGAATCTGGAAGATTTGTGCACATAGAATAACAGCAAACAAGAAAACAAAGACCCACGAAAATATTGGTGACCATGTGAAAGTTAGTGAAATTAATGCAAGTTACTTTAAAAAGCACACCAAATAATATTTTTGAGAAATTTAAGGTCATACCGCATCTGACATGTCGCAATGAAGCTTGGTTACAGAATCTCCTCTTCCAAGTTCCTCTACGATCCCATACGCAATATATGTCTTTGGACCCAGGTCAGGTTTTATGACACTTGCTGGCAACTTGGCAGCAAGATTAAGAATACCAGCCCTTGGATCCATGTATTCTTGAAATGGCAGTGCGCTGATAAACTCATCACAATGGCGGGGTAATAAATCCTCAAACTTATCTGATGGTGGCCAGTCCTTGAGTTTGAGCATCTCAGGCCAGGAGTTACGATATCTTCTCCCTTCAGTGTAACCTTTGAAAAATTTACGAGTACTAATCTCCACCTGCAAAGACAAGCACAATGACACCTATTTAAGTAAAACCAGCTGCAAACAAAAAGACAATCTCAATCCCCACTGCCAGAAAAAGAAAAGAAAACAATATTATTACCTTTAAGAAAAGAGCTTAAAATGATTATTACTATTATGGTATACAAGACCCTGCTAATAACAACATTATTTAGATGGAGAATAGAGCTTATTTAACTTAAGAGAACTCGAAGTTAAAATAACATAACTGATGTAGGATGCAATGAACAAGAAAGAGATTTAACTGAAACTTCTCACTGGAAGATTTTTTTTTTTTTTTTTTTGAGTTGCTGCAGCCTCAGGTAAAAAATTTATGGTAGTGTGTTCTGGTGGATAAAGTGTATATGGTTGGCTGCTGTTGATGGGGATTTGGGAATTGGTGGTTGAGGAGTGGAGATTAGATTTTACAAAATTTGTTGGTCAAAGGAAACGACTTGAGCTCTAATACCAAATTGACGTAGGATGCAACGAACAAGAAAGAGATTGAAAAAGAAAGAGGAGGAGAGAGGATAAAGAGAGGAAAAGAGAAGAAGAGGGGAGATATTAAGGGGAGAAGAATTAGACAGGCGGAAGTATAGAATTTAAGAGAGAGAAAATATATTTATTTAATTCATCAAAGTTGTGCTATTTTCAAACATCTAATAAAATTCATTAAATAAAACCTTAATTATGTTTCCTAAAGTAAGCATCTAAATTGGAAACTAAGTTAAAAACTATCTATACTAAGATTCCCTTCAATAACTATGCAGAAATGCTAAAAGAGAGAAAAAAAAAAAAAGCATAAATGGTGCAGGAAAAGTAAAAAGATCAATCTTGTTCAACAATATCTGCAAGCAGAATATAACGAGCCAAATTCATTACAAATATTGGAGATGATAGAAATAACCTCACAACCAGCCAGGCAATCAATGGCCTTCACATCTGACATTCTTGAACTGATCCGTAAATCTGTATGTTCACCTAATGCACGCCACATAACCATTGGTTCCCAACTCAAACCACTAGCCTGCTCAAGAACATTTTGAACAATTACTGGTTCCCCATTAGCCCAGTGTCCTTGGAACATTCTCTAGAAGCTGCCCTACGTGATTTTTCAGGGTTGCAATCACAACAAAGAGGCTGAAAAACACTCTCAACAGTAAATTTTCTTATAATCTTCTGTGCTCGAGCTTCCAAACTTGAAATCCAGTCTTTCGAAAGGAGACACTTGAGTTCTAAATTACGACTACCACATCCATCCATTTCTCTTGGAGCACAAATGATATTCCCATCATAGTTGGCAACCCACTCATTAGGCATGCCAGAATCATTTACTGAAGTTTCTGCCTGAAAAGATTTTGGTAGCGGGTCTCCACCGTGCATGTACTCAAAGCCTCTACCCACATATCGGAAAACCGGTTTATTGAAAACTCCAGGAAGCTGACCCCTGCGAATCTCCTTGCAACATCTAAGACATAGCTCGTAGGAGCAATTTGGGCAACTCCGGTGAAGATCAATGATTGATGTTGAACAGTGGTTGCTGCTCCGAGACAAAGAGAGAACACAGTCAATGATACATATAAGAATAATAGTGCACAGAGCATATTAGGTCGAAGAAAAAGAGATTGCTTACCAATAGACACGCTCATCATTATAACAAATCGCATGTTTTACGTCAATCGAAGATGGTAGTACACCTGTCATGCACATGTTCCGTCAGGATGCTACATGAATCTCAGTACTTGTACTGATTTGATTTATAAAAATCATATACCCTGAATTTTAGCCTCCACCTCTATTTCTTCAATTTGTTCTTGATGAATATGCTTTAAGAATGGAAGAAGTTCACTAATAAAATAGTGCAGATGTTGAATCTTGTCACAATCAGTGAGCTCTCTTTTAGATATCTGAACTGTAAACATGAAAACAATTCTTTAAAAGACTAGATAACCAAAATAGAGATGTTAAGGTATTTTACGAAACAGACAAACCTTTACAATGCCAGTTGAGTGTAAACATAAGTTGCAGTTGCAATTGCCACGGCAAAATGGGCAAACCTCTGAAACTTCCTCTTCTGACAGGGTGGGATACCTATATAAACAAAGTTAAAGAAAACTTAAATTATTTATTTATTTATTTCAGAAGGAAAATCAGTGTATAGGTATAGTAGTCACCATTGCTTAATGCACTGGATGCAGTATAGATTCACTTTACACTTGGTACAAGGAACAACAATTCTTCTATCCACTCTTCGGCACTGATGACATGTTACGAATTCCTTTTTATTTGCCTGTTTATGAAGATATGATAACATCATCTTGCACGTTGTTTTTGCATAAAGAATTGAACAACAAGCACTAGCCAGATCATGTATGACGAGAAATTAAGAAGAACATACCTTAATGTTTTTCATTGCAGAACTTTGTCTGCTATAGCTATCACTTTTGGAAGCTGACGAACAAGAAGATGATGGTGATGAATAGGACAAATCACATTTAGAAAGTTTGGTAAAATTGTCATTTCTCTTCTTTTTGCCCTTCAAAATTATTTTCGACTTTGAAGAATCTGCATTACTAGTCCTGTTGATTTTGACATCAATTGAATCGCTTTTTCCAAACCTTGAATTCACAAATGAAACCATATCTTCTTCGTCATCCACCCAATCACCCAAATAAAAATCAGATTCATGAAATTTGTTTGAGACAATATGATGACGTCTTTCAGCTGGTCTCTGATTGGCCAATTCATCAATTAGTTGAGTTTTATGGATGTGTGTTCTAGTTACTGATGACCTCAGATTCTCCTTATTTTCATCACAAACTTCTTCAGTTTCACTTTGTCCCTTGTGCATCAAAACTTTATTTTTGTAAATATTTTTCTTATACGACCCAGTACAAATATCTGCTGAATTCCTTTTGTCAAGGAAGCCTTTCATGTGCACGGCCGGCCTCCTTCGTTTAATTGAGCTTTTTGATCTTGATGAAGATCCCACACTATATTCATCCCCATCTTCCTTGTCTTCCCTATCATACACCAACTCTCCAGAAGAAACTGGACATGGCTTGTTTAACAAATGGATGTGTCTACATGAAGAGGAGCTACCACCATTAGGACCTTCAATACTCTCAGCTTTCATTGTTTTCCTTACAAAAGTTTTTGTCTTTTCTGGTGATAATTCTTCTCTAGTTGAAGCACTCTGAAGTTTGATTGGTGTTGTTACACCACATGAGACATTAGTACCTGCAAACATCTTTGCTTTCTTAATAGATGTGTCAAAATTGTTGGGCCAGGAGTCTGATTCCTTTGGCAATAACCAATCATTGTT